ACCCATGACCTTAGACTAAGTTTACCTTTTTTGCACTCATACAAATACCTTTTGCAGTATTTCTCTGATTTTAATGTACCTACAAATCACCTTGATCCTATTACTATATAAATTCATATTCAGTAGGTCCAAGGTAAAGCCTGAGATCCTGAATTTCTCACAAAATCCCAGACATTGCTATAATGCTGTTATAGCAAAGCAACATTTTTGAGAATTGAGGACTTAGGAGGGTTATGAGGATTAAATTAAATAACCCACTCACATTTCCTGATAAAGCCATGGCTGGAAAACTACAGAAGAAAACACTTAGGAGGAAAATGATAAAATTTGTTTAAAGAAATCACATGCCTTAATCCTCCTTTCTTTTCCAGATAGGGAAACAATAGGTCTGAAAGTTAAAACAGCTATTTACTAATAGCCAAAACTACTAGCAAAGCAGAGAAAAGAGATGAGACTGATTCTTCTTTTTCGTCTGCAAAAAAGCACCATCAAGAATAATAAATGAAATTTAAAGAGAGCTTCTAATTTCACACAATGATTACCTTTCTAACAGTAAAAGTCAGTATATAAACAAATGGGTTTTTTGAGAAAAAGACAGTGAAGTCCCCAGTCACAAAATATGAACTGAGATAAGCCTTAGCTCACTGCTCAACTTTGATAAAGCCTGGCCATCTAAGAGAAATAACATACTTAATATGGACGAAGATGTAAAACATCCAACTGAAACCCTCCCAATTTACCTCTCCACCCCAACTGTGCTTCACCAACCGTAAGTGAGGTTGCTTAGGTCTAAAAAGACTTGGGAGTCATTCTTAACTTCTCTTCTCTCAGTCCACACACCCATTCCATCAACAAATCTAAGGCTGAATCTTCAAACTGTGCCCATATCCAATTACTTGCCACCTCCATCACAACAGCCCTTACCCAAGCCATTATCCTCTCTGTCTGGATTACTGCAATAGCCTCCTAATAGGTTTCCATCTTCATCCTAACTCTTACTGTCATTTCTCAACACAGCAGCCAGATTGTTGTCAATTCTCTGCTCAGTAACTTTGACTGTTTCTCACTGAGCGAAATGAGAAGCCAAAGTCCTTATAATGGAAAACTCAAAGTCCTTATAATGGATTACAAGACCAAAGATAATGGGCGCCTACCAACTTTTTTGGCTAAAAACGTATTTATCTTATCACCTCTCTCACTCTACTCTGTATACATTTGAAGTCACTCTTCCTGGAAAGACATGAATTACCTTTGCACTTGTTGTTCCCAAAGCCTTGAAGGATATGCTCTGAAATCTACAAGAATCACAAGTATACATTCTATATCACAATAAATAATATCCAACATAAGTATTGCAATATATTTCCCACAAGTGAGTACCAATGATAGACTAGGTAAGGCATTCTAGTTTCCATTTTGACTTGGACTTTAGTTTTTACAATCAAGTCCTCAGTGATCACGAAGTGAGTGAAGATTCAGTGTTGTACTCCTCAGTTAGAACATTATAACTCCCAGGGTAAAGAATTCAACCCTTTTGAGGGGTCAGATTACTGGCCTATAATTCAGCTTTATTCCAACCCTGAACAAATTAACTAATGTTCTAGTAGCAAAGCCACTCCAGTGCCCATAAAGGAGTCCATATGTGCTTCTTTAAAATCAAAGGTCCTTATTTAAACTTGATTGGGTAGCCATTGATGGACAAGTCAGAGAAAGATAAAGTATAAGATTCTGATCACTGGTAGAAAAGATAGTAATGAACTTCACAGAGACAATTTCTTCCCGGGATGTATGTCCCAGTACTTCTGGGCATGATTGCTTAGGTTTACACACCACCACAAAGAGCAGAAAGGCATGGTGCAGTGCATGATGCAGCTACTCTGATTACACAGGATCTGGGGCTCAGCAATTAAGGCCATATTTGGCACAGACAGCCAAACAGCTTCAGAGAGGTGGAGATAAATGCATCAGAGGTAAGAATTAATGTGAGCAGAGAGGAAGCAAGGGAATGGAGATTTCAGTCTGAGATAAAGTGCACTACCGCAAAGGAGCACTGTGGGTGTTGTCTTCCACCCCACAGTGCTGCTCCCACTACACTCAGAGGCCCCCTCCTCCCCCTCATCTCATGAGCAGGCTACTTTATTTCAGGCTACTAAAAAAATCAAGAGGCATAAAACAAACCCCCCCAAAAAAACCCTGAAAGCTGTTGCCTCATCAAGCCAATTTCAACTTGTGCAATTCATGTGTGACAAAGTAGAATTGCTTCATACATTTTTCTTTGCACTAATCTTCTCTAAGGTGAGCCTGATCCAGGCCATGGTCTTCACAATTATGTGCTATGCATCAGAGAGAGCTGGACAGTGACTAAGGATGACAGAAGAAGAAATGATGCCTTTGAGTTGTGGTGCTGGAGAAGAGTATTGAATATACTATGGACTACTAGAAGAACAAACAGATTTGTCCTGGAGAGGGTGAAACCAAGCTGCTACTTGGTGGCAAAGATTTTGAAGCTCTGTCTGACATACTCTGGGCATGTTGAAAGGAGCGACTAGTTCTTAGAGAGGGACATCATACTTGGAGGGGTGGAAGGACAGCACAAGAGAAGACGACCCTGGATGAGATGGATTCAGTCAGTGACCGGGGTAATGGGAGTAGGTGTGTCAGAGACAATGAGGTTGGCTCAAGATAGAGCAAGGTTCTGAGCTGTTGTACTCAATGGCACATAACAACAACAACCACAATCTCTCTAGGACCCCAGCAGGAAGGAACTGCGCTGTTAACCCATGATACCCTGCTCCGTGAGAGAAAGATGGACATCTTTCTCCCATGCAATTTACAGCCTATGAAAAACTGCCAGAGGGTGAGCTATGAGTTGGTTCCAACTCAATGGTACATAAAAACAATATTTTCCTAAGCAGCTCATCATATCTTTAGGACTGTGCCTCCCAGGAATCCAAAGGAGCATAGGACTACCTTAGATGTGACAGCACAGTAATACTTGCAAGAAGAGAAGCAGACTTTTAGTTATAGATATGTCTTAGCAAAGAAATGAGACTTGTCTCATGTAAAGAGTCTGCTCTGTGACTCTTTCTCAGGAGCTGCCCAATGCAGGGACTGAAAAGAACCTGAAAATTAAGGACCAAAAGAACAGAGGTGGAAAATGTGATAAAAAAAGATGGGAAGTGTTAAACACATGATTCAGAGACAGGTCTCATGCATATTCTTTTACAAAGTCAATGCTTAGGAAGTGTAACCACATGAACTTGTGGCACAGTTCTAAGCAAGAAGTGGAGCTTTTCAAAACTAAAACTTGATCTGGGTGTTCTTGCTGCTTCAAGGAAAAATTTTCCCCACTGAGGGCATGATTCTGGGACTCCAGGTCATGAGATGAGGCTCGTTCATTCATGTCTGCGATCTATAGAGTGCATCATATCCAGCAAAGAACCACACACTGTATGCTGCACCTCTGGCAAATAATTTGAAACTAACAGTATTTTTCATCTCAGTTCTCCAATTAGAAGTAATATCTTACTGTTCATTTGATTAACTCAATTAATGGAACCACAAGCAAAAAAGGATCAACAGCCCTTGAGTGGACAAAATCAGGCACAAACTTTTAATAAATGACTTCTCTTTACCCCATTCGGACCCATTTTTATTCTAGTGGTCTAGCGAGTAAGGAGTTGTGATGGGGACCCTTTGGGTCGCTTCTCTGGAGGTTCAGATCCTTGGGGGGCAGGGTGGGGATGGGTTATCTCCTTCCCTGAGATTTAAATAATCTGAAAACTCATTGCGGGGTCAGCTATGATTCAGTTCCTACTCGATGACAGTAAGTGTGAGCTTTGAGATTTAAGTGTTATTGTTTTAAAACCTTTAAGTCACAGATTGAAAAATTCTCTTATTTATCCCTTGGGTAAATGGATTTTTCTGTAATGGATTTGCTTAAAATGAGGAAAACTCTTACAGGGCAATCTGCACAGCAATAGCTTATTTTCACTATTTATACACAGGATTACAAAGGGAAAGGGTCATTTTCTAACTCTGTTTTTAACAACACAAACACAATGGGGTTTTTCGGCTTTTGTTGTATTTTCATTTAGAGAATGTTCGAGAAAATTACTCCTCCAGGTGAGAAGCATCTCAAGAAAACAAATGAAAGGAATGCGTCTTCCAGTAATCAGTACTGAACAGAAAGACGCAGAAGATCCAGGGCCCTTTGGGAGAACACATAGCTGCACTGAAGTCCCTCCTCCAACCTTAATTGGTCAAATGCCAGAATAAATGAACTTTGAAAAGTTAGGAGCTTCACAACTTTCACTAGGAAGAAACTGCAGGTGGGTAGACCATAACCAATAAGGCCACCCACTCCTATCTACCTGGTGGCAACAGCTAAAGAAAACCGAACGCCCAGGCCCAGGCCGCCTCCGCGCCGGACGACCCGTGGGGCCCGTTTCAGGCCCCGCCATCAGTGACCTAAAGCTCCGCACCCTCGACACAGTAGGGGATCCCGCCCCGCCCTTCTCACCTCCAACCAAAGAGAGGCGCAGAGAGCTCCGAGCCAAGATAACCCGCGCCATGTGAGATGGAGACGCTGCCCGGCCCCAACTCCCAACTTCCCAGAGTTTCCTTCGGTCTCGCTCCCCTTTCACCGCTCCGGAGGCCGCGGCGGCCTCCCTGCCAAAAGCGCACAACCGGAGAAGTGGAGCAGGGAGCTTAGGAGCCGCCCCCAGAAACCCAAACAACTGGCGTGCAAGTGGCGGGCGTGGTCCCTCCCGCCCTGCCCCAGACCACCGAGTCGGCCTCCAAGCTGCAGCCTCTTCCGCCGGGACCCCCAGCCGCTCCCCAGCATCAGGCCACGATGCGCTGGACCCCGACTGGAGCCCCTGGCTCTGTGGTCGCCGCACCCTAACCCCAGCCCGTGTCGCTCTTCTGCTTCAGGCCCCGGTGCGGCCCCAATTCCAGCTCTGGGCCCTCCAGTGGCGCCTGGCGTCGGCAGCACTCACCTTGGTCGCGGAGCCGGGGTCTGGAGCGGTCCCGCAGGTGGTAGATGAAATCCTGGCAGCTGTCGTGCTCCAGAGCCCCACGGGCACAGAGCTCGGCCAGCAGCTGCAGCGCCTGGTGACAGAGCGCGTCCCTGGCCCCGGGCATCGCCCCCCCGCATCCTCGGACCGCGCCGGGCAGGCGGGCGCGGGAGACAGCCCTCCGCCTGCCAGCTCAGAGCCGCCGCCTCCGGGCCGTCCGCGCTCGCCGCCGGGGACCTGCCGAGAAGCAGTGCGAGCTCCAGTCCCAGCCCCAGCCAGCCGGGTTTCCCACCGGTTGCATGCAGCGCTTTGCCAGCCGGTCGGTCGGGATTCTCAGTCTCCCGCCCCGCAGCTCCGTTCCTCCCCAGGCGCGGATGAGAGGCGGCGCCGCACGCCCTGTGCGCCTCTCTCCCTGCGCTCCGCCCGCCACTCTCGGCCGCCGGGGGGCGGGGCCGGGTCAGGGGGGCGCGCGGCGGTAGGATACCCGCAGCTCCCTCTTAGCCTCCTGTCGGTCTACGCCGATCCGAACGCGGGACGTGGCAGCAGACCTCTCGCTCGGAGCAGCCGCGCCCTGGCCTGGACAGTGAGTGAGCGCGCTCAGGGTGCTGCATGCCCCCTCCCGGATACAAACCAAACACCCCTCCCACCACCTCCCCGCCCCGTGGGTCCTGAGCACGTTCTTGGTGTTGGGGCGCTCAGGACACAGTCTGGTCCACACAGTTCCGGAGAACGGAGTGTAGTTTAGGACTTGAAAAGCGCGCCTGCCTGGCCGTATTCCTTGGGCCTGAGGATACTGGATGCCCAAACGCAGGGCTTGGAGCCAAAATTCACCAACAAAAGAAAAAATATCTCCTGGATCAGAACTAAGGTCAAATAAATGGTTCCTAGAAGAGGTTTACCAAAAGCTTCATAAATCCGTCACCTATAGAGGATCACAGATTATTTAAAGGGAATTTCAAGGCAATTCTCATCCACTCACCTCTTTCAAATAACATTTAATCATTGTAAATTGATCTGCCTTGACTCCTAATGGCTTCATAGCTGACTCTCCAAATGGTTTTCAGAGGCTGTAAATAGCACCGGAGGAGATTGCACATCTTTTTCTCCCTTGGAACACGTGGTGGATTTGAACCTTCTGCAGTTGTACTTTAAACACAACTCCTTACCTGATAGACCCACAGAGGACCCTTTCAAATAACATTCTCACATAGTGCCACAGAGTACTGAGAGTGTGTGTGGGCACGCCAGGCACTATGTCATAACTCTTTTAAATAAATCCTTCAATAACCCAACAAAGTTAACCAATGAGAAGTGTCTTCAAAAAAGTGTCACATGCCTGAATCCATGCATGAAAGAGAGGATTAACCTTATTTGGCAGGGGGATAGGGAGAGGAAGAAGAGATTGGAAGGGGGTTGACATACTTCTAATGTCAGGTCAGGTTAGAACAATTAAGGTAGAATCTCATATAGCACATAGTGTGCAGAAAGGCAGTTCAGATACCAGAGTGTTCATCCATCACCTGAAGTTTGGAAATCCTATTGTGGATGATGCTCAGGACCTCAAGGAGCTTGTACTAGAACAGTAGTGAAAATGCAGAGTTGTAGTAGCAGGAGTAAACAATTAAGTGTGGAACTATTGTTGTTGGTACATATTATTGAGTCAGCACTGACTCATAGCTGACCCTTCAGTGACTTTTCAGAGACAGTAAAGCCCACGGGAGCAGATTGCCCATCTTTCTCTTGAGAAACCTTTGGTGGGTTTGGACTGCCTGCCTTTTTTGAAGGTGCAATTATTTACCACTAGGTCACCAGAGCTCCCTAAGTGCTTGACTACTAACCAAAATGTTAGCAAAAGTTATCCATCCAGAGGTGGTGGTTGTTGTTATGTGCCATCGAGTTGTTTGC